TTTTTTTTTTTTTTTTTGTTATCCATTTGGGAAAATAACTGGATCATTCATGGAACTTTACCTTCTTCCCCACAAAGGCATTTTTTTTGACACATCCTGTGAACACTCTCTCCTGACTTCAGGGCAGTCCATGAGGGGAAGATGAAAGGGGAGGTGCTGGCAGCCTTTCTCTCCTACTCTCCTCTCTCCACTTTCCCTTCTGACGCCCAACTGACTTCACTGTCTGGGCCTGGAAAGGGATGCATCTTAACAGAGCAGCCCTCTGTACCATCAGGAGTCCTCAGGGTCTTGTATCATTTCCTATACTTTCCCATTGTGGTTTTTGGTCATTTCTTTAGCTCATCCGAGGAATTATTTCCGAAAGCCTAAGGAAACAGTGAATTGTCATAGACTATTAAATGATATATGACATATACATATGATATATATGATATATACGATTGTAAGAGCACTGTTTGTCATTCCTGTGTGCTGTGGCTGCTTTATTTCCATCGGTCCTCACTATGGTGGAATGTCAGCCTCCTCCTACTGATTCAGTAGGGTAATTCCAGTGGGGACAGTCTGATGCCTTTGGAGGGCCATGAAAAGGGACCCTGTATGTCTCTTATGAACAGTTGGGTCCATTTCCTGTCACAGGGACTGGATCGAGAGCACATGCACCCATGGTACTTTCCACGCTTTTCAGTGGTCATGTTAGACACCCACACATGCCATCAGTATTCCTAGCCGATGCCCACATTCCAGAGGTGACTTTAATTGTCCAATTCCTAGTTCTTTGGATCTTTGTAAAATGCCAAGGCCTCACTGATGCCCCTCCTGTTGTGTCCCTTCCTGTTATAACCACTGGTCAGCTGCACGTGTTGGTTGGTTGATGAGCATTGGCTCCTGCCTGAGAGCTTTGTGGCACAGTTGATTTGATCCCTGGACTCTGCCAACTTTGATTATATCCAGATGCCCATGATAGGTGCAGGTAGCCTCTTGCTGTGCTCACCTTTCACATTCCTTAGAGAACACATTGTGCTGTCACTGAGTGGTGACCTTCAGCACATAGATGCAGACATACGAAAGGCATTCAGGATCTCGGCAGTGGGTTACTCTCCTTTGTCACTTAATGCCGCTTCTTGTCCTTTGTAGCCTTCCTTAGTTATCCCTGAGCCACTTGAATCTTTTCTTTTGTCTTAAATTTTTCTCAAGCATTTCTGTTTCTGGTATAGTTTCTGGGGACTGAAGTTCCAAATTGCATATTCTTCCAAAGCTCTTTTGTTATTTGCCAAGACCTCTTATGTCATAGTAGTTACTGAAAATTCTATTACTTTATGAAATCTTTAAAGTAGAAATAAGTCCCATGATATATTTGTGGGCATTTGAGAAATGGTCTGAAAAACATTGAGAATAAAGGCTTTCTCTA